TGTTTTAGTATCGTTTTTTAAAATTATTCTGGCAAGATCCTATGTAAACTTCAGGGGTTTTATCAGTATTGTTCGGTTTATCCTTATATATTTTTACTTGATAAACCACGCACTCCTGTTGGCATTTGCTCTGGAGGGGGCAGGATTCCTTATTCCTACAATTACAATTAGGAGCGGGGGACGTTGCGTGGTTTGTCTTTAATTTTTCTCCTATTATATCTATTAATTAAACTGATCATATTAGGCATACAGCTATAGTTTAACTTGACGTAGTTTTTATTGAAAATTTTGTGCAACGTATTAGTTTGTTGCAAATACTTTTTAAGTAGTTTAAAAAATATCTTGCCTATATTGGTATTCATCTCAAAATTATAGCGGAGGGGTGATTAAACAATAATATTTTTCTACTTCTGGATTTAAGTTCACTTTACGTTTTAGGGGAATAATTCAGATCGATATATTCTAATTTACTATTATACCCATAACTCATTAAGGCTTGTTCATAAATTAGTTTATTTTTATTAAAAATATTATTATTCGATGAGTTAGTGGACAATCTTTGATTAATACCTTTAGGTATCTGTTTCAAGATATGTGCCAGGTGGTTAGAACCCGTGTCGATATATTGTGGGTGCTGATTATCTTTTCTATACGGTGAAATCATAACATCACGTAAATCTAGCATAATGTCTAAGTAATTGGTATCTTTCAAGTTTATTTGTATATCAAGGTTAAATCCAAACCATTTGAAACAACCAGTGAAGATTTATTTCGAATTATGTCGCATTTTCTAGGGTTACTTTTGCCTACAATAATCCATCCATCGTCCTTGTACAGGCTATCATTGCTAGGATCGATATACTTGTTTAAATTGTTACGTAGGAAGCATCCAACTAACTCACATACCTCTGCACCGTCACCCCCACCACATCATTGGATTGTTAAAGTTTTCCTTTTCTCCTTTTTTAATAATTCGTTATTGTGGAATAACAGCAATTTACGGTAATATTTAATAAAACTAATTTTATCGCTAGAAATCGGTATATATTCTTTAGCTATCAGTGAAGCTTCATTAACGGTTTTTTCAGTAATCGATGGATAGAATTCTTTTATATTGTATTTTATGAAAGAACATTTGTTATTTTTATCATAACTCTTAAACCATTTGATACAATCGTAGGTGGAACACCATTGGTTAATATTTAAGAATGTTCTTAACGATTCACATATGTCTTGCAAGATTATTTTGCTAACTTTACCCAATTGTCTTTTAGTAGAGTTTGTAAGTCAGCATTCGGGATTATTTAGAAAGTTGTCTTTCTGATCTTTAATTGTTATGAAACAATTTTTTAGGCTAATTTTTTTCAATTCTGTTTTCTAAGTTAAACTTATTGGCTAATGTACAAGCCTCCTTATTCAGCCTCGTTTCCAGATTAGTGGGGGCTTTTTTATAATACTAGATTACCTCTTTATTAAACATTGTTATATTTCTTGGGGCTTATTTTGTATAATGCTTAGATTTGTCTTCTTTAACGAAAACTTTGTTATTTTTTATATTCTCCGTTTCTAAATTAGCGTTTTTTTTTTTTATAATATTTATTACATCTTTATTAAACATATTGTTATATTTCTTGGGGCTTATTTTGAATAAAAGCTCTGATTTGTATTCTTTAACGAAAACTTTTTGTTATTTTTTATATTCTCCAGATCTTTGCTAATTTGCTGCTGTATATTACTGGTTATCTTTCTGTACTGTATTGTTTTAATTAATCCGATTAAGTCGGACTCAAAATTGTCTAGTTCTTTGATATAGGGGGGGGCATAGGTTTTAAAACCATACGATTCAATGATTTATTCTGGTTGTTATTATTAAAAAAAGAAATATGCTTTCCATCTCATATTCGCTATGAAGGATTCTATTTTTTCAATAAAATTAATTCATATAAGTGTCAGTCAGGTAATGGTATATTTTTAAATGAGTAACCTACATCTACTAGTTCCATAACGGTTGACTTTATAAAGTGCTCAATAGAGTAACCTAGAGTTTTATATAAATGGTGGTACTCGCTTGAAATATCTTGGGTATGTTGGCTTATAGTAGAACAAAATAGTACCCAAGAAAAATGAGGAATAAAAAAAAAGAAAGAACGAAGAACATGAAATTGAGGCGAAAACAATCTTTCAGAGTTCAAGTTCAGAGTCCAAAGAAAAAAACCTCCAAAACGAGTAAAAGCAACTACGTAAAGTGCTCAATACACGAAGTAGAGCAAACCTACTATAAACATAAAGAGCCAGGCAAACCAACCTAGGTTTCACCTAAAGGGATCTCCAGAGGAGAGATCAGTCATTACTAGCCGGAGAAGAGATCATCTCCAGAGGAGTGATCAGTCATTACTAGATCGGAGGTGAGATCCTCTCCAAAGGAGTGATCAGTCATTACTAGATCGGAGTAGAGATCATCTACAGAGGAGAGATCAGTCATCACTAGCCGGACGAAAGATCATGTGCAGAGATCAGTCATTACTAGGCCGGAGGAGAGATCATCTTCAGAGGAGAGATCAGTCATTTCTAGCTCGGAGAAGAGACCATCTCCGGAGGAGAGATCTGTCATTACTAACTCGGAGAAGAGATCATCTGCAGAGGAGAGTTCTGTCATTACTAGCTCGGAGAAGAGATCATCTTCAGAGGAGAGATCAGTCATTACTATCTCGGAAAACAGACCATCTTCAGAGGAGAGATCAGTCGTTACTAGCTCGGAGAAAAGATCATCTCCAGAGGAGAGATCTCTCATTACTAGCTCGGAGAATAGATCATCTCCAGAGGAGAGATCTGTCATTACTAGCTCGGAGAAGAGATCATCTCCAGAGGAGAGATCAGTCATTGCTAGACCGGAGGAGAGATCATCGCCGGAGGAGAGATCAGTCATTACTTGCGCAGAGGAGAGATCAGTCATTACTTGCGCGGAGGAGAGATCATCTCCAGAGAAGATATCAGTCATCACTAGCCCAGAAGAGAGACCATCTTCAGAGAGATCAGTCATTACTATCCCAGAGGAGAGATCGTCAGGGAAATGCCAGCCAAAAAGGTAAAAAATGGAACATAATATATAGCTTAAACCAAAAGCAACCATGACCACGTGACAAAAAAAAAAAAAAGAAAAGAAAAAAAAAAGACATTAAAAACTCAAAACAGGGGGGTTACGGGTTATCAGATAGAAAGCATATTTCTTTTTTTTTTTAATAATAACCAGAATAAACATCCAACTATTGAATCGTATGGTTTTAAAACCTATGTCCACTCACCCCTATATTAAAGAACTAGACAATTTTGAGTCCGACTTAATCGGATTAATTAAAACAATACAGTACAGAAAGATTACCAGTAATATACAGCAGCAAATTAGCAAAGATCTGGAGAATATAAAAAATAACAAAAAGTTTTCGTTAAAGCAGACAAATCAGAGCTTTTATTCAAAATAAGCCCCAAGAAATATAACAATATGTTCAATAAAGATGTAATAAATATTATAAAAAAAAAAAACGCTAATTTAGAAACGGAGAATATAAAAAATAACAAAGTTTTCGTTAAAGAAGACAAATCTAAGCATTATACAAAATAAGCCCCAAGAAATATAACAATGTTTAATAAAGAGGTAATCTAGTATTATAAAAAAGCCCCCACTAATCTGGAAACGAAGCTGAATAAGGAGGCTTGTACATTAGCCAATAAGTTTAACTTAGAAAACAGAATTGAAAAAAATTAGCCTAAAAAAATGTTTCATAACAATTAAAGATCAGAAAGACAACTTTCTAAATAATCCCGAATGCTGACTTATAAACTCTACTGAAAGACAATTGGGTAAAGTTAGCAAAATAATCTTGCAAGACATATGTGAATCGTTAAGAACATTCTTAAATATTAACCAATGGTGTTGCACCTACGATTGTATCAAATAGTTTAAGAGTTATGATAAAAATAACAAATGTTCTTTCATAAAATACAATATAAAAGAATTCTATCCATCGATTACTGAAAAACCGTTAATGAAGCTTCACTGTTAGCTAAAGAATATATACCGATTTCTAGCGATAAAATTAGTTTTATTAAATATTACCGTAAATTGCTGTTATTCCACAATAACGAATTATTAAAAAAGGAGAAAAGGGAAACTTTAACAATTCAATGATGTGGTGGGGGTGACGGTGCAGAGGTATGTGAGTTAGTTGGATGCTTCCTACGTAACAATTTAAACAAGTATATCGATCCTAGCAATGATAGCCTGTACAAGGACGATGGATGGATTATTGTAGGCAAAAGTAACCCTAGAAAATGCGACATAATTCGAAATAAATCTTCACTGGTTGTTTCAAATGGTTTGGATTTAACCTTGATATACAAATAAACTTGAAAGTTACCCATTACTGAGACATTATGCTAGATTTACGTGATGTTATGATTTCACCGTATAGAAAAGATAATCAGCACCCACAATATATCGACACGGGTTCTAACCACCTGGCACATATCTTGAAACAGATACCTAAAGGTATTAATCATAGATTGTCCACTAACTCATCGAATAATAATATTTTTAATAAAAAAAAACTAATTTATGAACAAGCCTTAATGAGTTGTGGGTATAATAGTAAATTAGAATATATCGATCTGAATTATTCCCCTAAAACGTAAAGTGAACTTAAAACCAGAAGTAGAAAAATATTATTGTTTAATCACCCCCTCCGCTATAATTTAGAGATGAATGCCAATATAGGCACGATATTTTTTAAACTACTTAAAATGTATTTGCAACAAACTAATACGTTGCACAAAATTTTCAATAAAAACTACGTCAAGTTAAACTATAGCTGTATGCCTAATATGATCAGTTTAATTAATAGATATAATAGGAGAAAAATTAAAGACAAACCACGCAACGTCCCCCGCTCCTAATTGTAATTGTAGGAATAAGGAAGGCTGCCCCCTCCAGAGCAAATGCCAATAGGAGTGCGAGGTTTATCAAGTAAAAATATATAAGGATAAACCGAACAATAAAACCCCTGAGGCTTACATAGGATCTAGTCAGAATAATTTCAAAAAACGATACTAAAACAACCTTAGTAGTTTCAATAGCGAAACTTACAAAGTACCACCCTGTTCTCTTATGTATGGAAGGTCAAACAAGAAGATAATAAAGACCCCATTTTGAAATGGGAAATATTAAAAATTGTCACAAGTATAAAGCAGGTGATAAATTTTGTTCCCTATGCACAGAGGAAAAGTTAGATATTGCTAGCTATAAAGAACCCAATAATTTATTAAATCTAAAATCTGAAATTCTTAGTAGATGTAGACATAAAAAACGCTGGTTATTAGAATAGGTTTTTTATTCCCCCCCTCCAATTTGTTGTTTTTTCTGTTTTCTTCATTTCATTGAATGAAGAACGTAACACCTACACCCTCCGCTGTTCAGTTTTTACTGTTTTTTAATATTTTTTTTTCACAGAAACTATTCGTCCTCCGATAGGATTCGAACTTGTATCCTATATTTTCTGTGAAAATTTGTCGGACGTTCAGGCCGGTAAATATATATATATATATATATATATATATATATATATATATATATATATATATATATATATATATATATATATATATATATATATATATATATATATATATAATAAAATTAATTGATTTGAAATATCGTTTTTTCCGCTACACAGTTCTAACCATGTTTCAAAAATAGAAGCTAAAAGCCCTGAATTTAATTTTGCAATTAAATTAAAAGCATTAGTTCCATTTCATCCTCAAGCGAATTTTTTTTTAAAATTACTGGCTTTTAAAATTACACACACACACACACACACACACACACACACACACACACACACACACACACACACACACACACACATATATAACGTTATTTTTAATGGTTACTTATATTTGAGCAGATACTCTGTTTTTATTTATTTAACAGTATATTTATTTATATCTACCGGCCTAAATATTCGAGAAACATTGTTAGAAAGGTATGCGCACTTCGACAGGATTAGAGAAAGCTGTCTATTAGATTTCGTTGTGACTCGACCTCTGAACCATGAAGAATCCGATGGTCAAAGCTAGAAATGCTGAATTCCCACACCTCGAAAGAATACTGTAAAAAGTCGGAAATGGCTTATTTACAACAAACAAATAAGCAAACACCATAGCAATAAATTAAGGAAAACTCTCTATGTACTAATAGAATGTAGTAATATTTTGGAAAAAAACACGTCTAATAGAGAATCTTTCTGAGATAAAGCTATCGAATACCGTACTGGACGCCCTCATTTTCGGTTTGAAATTCGCTGGCAGGATTCATAAAGAAGATCTAGTTGACAGAGTAGTATAAAATGACACAGAATTCATCAAAGGCTTCATTCAAGGAATAAACGCTGCCACTACAGAAACCAACAATGAAAGAAATTTACCAGAGAGACACGTAAATGCACTAAGCCACCTAGCAAACCATAATGAAAGTATCCATTACCTCACCTGACAAAGGAAGTAAGGCTGTCATAATGAATAAAAACTCATACGATTAAAAACTTAATTCACTACTCAACGATACCGACAATTTTTTTTTTTTTGCTTTAATCGAGTTCACCGCCAAGAAAGGCAGTAAAGCCACTAAGATACAAGTAATTACTGGGTGTGAAACAGAAACATTACTAATGAACGAGAACAAAAAGAGGAATCAGGAGGACAGAAGATAGCGATTGACATTGCATTTATATTTTTGCAGATTAAAGTTGGGTGGAAAGCATGTAGCCAAAAGGGAGTTCCACGAGTGAGAAGTGCGAGAAAAGAAACTGTTAGAATTTACGGTTACATCTACCCAATTCAAATGTAAATGGATGAGATCTCAATGTCAGTCTAGTACTGCGCTTAATTTCGTTATGACTTATTACTATAGCGAATAGTTACAATTACCTTGAAAGTACTTATAGAAAAGCCACAGAGAGGCAATTTTACGGCATTAGGAAAGAGATTAGAGTAGAGCCACCAGATGAAACGCAACTATTTAACAAGACGATTAGGAAACTAATTAAAAATGGAGATAAACTATGGTATAGATTAATAGAATATCATTCTAGAATACCAAAATGTACGTTCTTCCTAAACCCCACAAAGCAGGCAACTCGAACCACCACATTATTTAAGAATAGACAGCTCTCCTCGCATACCGTCGAATATGTGTGTGTGCGCGTGTATGTGGGCGTGTGTGATTGTGTGTGTGATATACTCATAGGCACATATCTTGGTTGCATTAAATTTGATTAAATTCAACCGATAAAAACTGTCTGCCTAACTGTTTTATTGTACCTTTCCATTTTACATATAAGTTGTCTACATTAGTCCCCTAAACATATATGCTTGCACATTTGCGAACACACACACACACACACACACACACACACACACACACACACACACACACACACACACACACACACACACACACACACACACACATTTTTATAATTGTTTTCATGGTAACTGTTCGGATTAAATTTCCTCTTCGATATCTGAATGTAAGCGTAGATTGGCGGTGCGGTCTCATCTTTTACAGTTGAAATAGCTAGATATTACCGTAAGTTCTATGCTAATAGTTTATTCTATCACACATCTCACATATGAAAGTCTCTTCCCGCTTCATGCTTTCCAGTTAATTTTGATCTTCAAAAATTTAAATGCATTCTTAAAGATTAAAGTCTGTATTCATAATTCCCGTACTTTTATCGTTCTCATACCGTAATAATGATTTATTTTTCCCATATTCTTTCACACACAGTACCACCATGCATCTTACAGGCTTTATTGCCTGGCTTGGGGTGAAATGTTTTAAAATATATCCATGGATTTTCTTCGGAAATGTGATTTTCTGTCGCGTCCTCCACAGATTTGAATTCATGGTTGTCCAACTGCTCGTATAAGCTGCTTTTGAAAAATGTGCTAATCCTTTAGAACGCAGGTGATCATAGCTCACCACAG